CCGGAAGAATGTTTATTCTGTTGTTTGATGGAACACTCTCAGGATACCTATTAAGTCCAAATGATTGAATATTTGGTTCAACTCTGGTATTTCTTTGTTATTTGTTTTGTCTAGTTGATCTATTTGTGACATTGGGGTACTGAGGTCCCCCACCATATTTGGGTTGATGTTTATCTTTTATGTCCAACTGGGTGTGCTGGTGTCCAATGTATAGGTGTTTATAATTGTGATTTCTAGCTGTTGAATTGTTCCCTTAACCACTATGTAGTGAACTTCTTTGCTTCTTCTGCTCAGTTCTGGCTTGAAGTCCACATAGTCTGAAAATAGGTCTGTTGTTCCTGCTTGTATTGGGGTTCTTATTGCATGGAAAAATTTTTCCATCCTTTGATTTTTAGTCTGAGTTTTTTTTTTTCTTAGCTTCAATGTGTTTCTGTATATGACATACATTTGATTCTGTTTCTTGATCCATTCTGCCAATCTGTATCTTTTGATTGGGGAATTGATACCATTCACATCAAAAGTTATTACTTAAAGATACTGACTTAACTTTACTATTTTCCTGTTGCCGATACACCCTCATCATCCCCCTTTTTTTTCTCTTTTGGTTAAGTGCTCACCCTGCCTGGTGTATTCATTTTCTTAGACATTTTGGCATTCTTGTTTCATTATCTCTTTCTAGGATATCCTTGAGAAGTTTTTCTGGGGTGCTGGTTTGACTGTCATGAATTTCTTAGTACTCTTTGTCATGAAAAGACCTGATTTCTCCATCAATTTTCAGAGACAGTTTTACAAGATATATTTGTCTGGGTTAATGTTGTTTTCTTTTAGGGCTTGAATCACTTGACTCCAAGCTCTTTTGTCTTGTAAAGTTTGTGTTGAGAACTTTCCTGTAATTCTAATGGGTTTAACCTTTTAAGTCCACAACTTAGGACCTGACAAACATCCAAGTTGCAAACTTTCACAAATACAAACAAATCTCAGGCGTAGCTCACCTGTCTGCTGGACATTATTATCACAGCTGTACTGCTGTGTGCTTAATGTACATTTTAAGGTAACTGTAAAAGCAATGTTTATTTACAGTATTTCTGTGGGGCATTTTATGCTTTGCATTGCATATTTGTGTCAAAGGTGTTTAAAATTCACTTTGTTGGACTTATGAACAAATACGACATCCCAATGTTCTCCTAGAAAGGAACTCGTTCAGGGACCTACTGTGTAAGTGATATGTTACTTTTCTCTAATCACTATTAAGATTATGTCCTTATGTTACATTTTTTTATTTGAACTATGATGTGCTGTGGAGAGGTTCTTTTCTGATTGTGTCTATTTGAAGTTCTATATGCTTCACTTACCTATGTTAATTTCTTTCCCCATATTTGGAAAGTTTTCTATTATTTCTGTAAGTTTTTTATGCTGTTTGTGCTATCTTGATTTTGCATATCCAATTAATGTCAAATTTATCTTTTTTTACACCAGCCAGCATGTTGCATTAATTTTTCATGTTCTATTGTTGTTTGTAAGGTATCTTTCACTAACCTGTCCCCAACACCAGCCCCATCTTCTAGTTGTGACACTCTGTCCTCTTATTCATCACTTCTGCTACCCATATTTTCAAAATCATTTTTTATTGGGCTGGGGATTTCGATCCCCGGCACCGTGCCTGCCTCACAAGTACAAGGTCCTGAGTTTAATTCCCAGTACAATTATTATTTCTTCTGTCTTCTGGATTTCTGTTTAGAACTTTCTCAAAGTTTTAAATTTTTTGCTAAAGTGGTCATTTATGGTTTTGGGGGTTTTTTTTTTGGTACCAGGGATCGAACTCAGGACCTTGCTATTTGTGAGGCAGGAAGAGGAACCACTGAGACAAATCTTCAGCCCTATTTGTGTTTTGTACCCTTTTATTTACCTCACTTGGCATTTTATTAGTGCCTTCTGTAAACTTTGATTATTTTCCCTGTCTGGTTAGTTATTTTGAGCTCACTGAGTACCTTATTTTTGTTTTATCTTCTATCATCTGAAAAATTCAGCTGTATGACTTTGTATTTCCTCCCTTTTGATGTGCCATGGATTAGCTTTGGAGGAATAGGGAGTGTCTGGCGGTATTTTATTTCCTTGTCTTTTTGTGTTTGTTTTTCTCTGAGGTTTGTGGGTTGATTATAGTAGAAAGTCTTTGTTGCTTACATAAAGACGTCTTTAGTTAGTGTCTGCTTTTCAGTGATGCACTCTGGGCATGCCTAACTGTAGGTCATTCACTCTTACTCAAAATCCAATCTCTGTGAATTTGGGAGAGGAGGTTGGAGTGTAATTAACCCAAGACCCATTTCTCCAGGAATGGGCCACAGTATTGTTAATGCCACAATGGCAATCCAGACAAAGGCATACAATGGAAACCAATTAATAGCAATAACTATGTCACCCTGACAACAGCAATAAAATCAGGCAACAACAAGAGTATCAAAGACAAGCTAGATGCTGACATACCCTAAGAACCACTACTGTTTTTCACGTTTGAAATAAAAGCCCATGCTGTTTTTGTCGTTTACAAAAGCCTTGGGGTTTCCTTGGGGATAGTCCTGCTTCCCCAGATCTGTTACTTCTCCCAGCAGCTGCACACTTTCCTAGGCTTACCTTTTCTTCTGGGGCATTGGTCTTATTCACAATTAGGTCAGCCAGTCTGTCAATGATTCTACTGTCTCAGGGCCAGGGGAAACAAAACACATTGGGGTTGGACCTGGGTGATGACTCTGAGGGTATGGGATCTATAAGCCCAGAGTTGGCTGGAAGTGAATGCAGCTTTGTTCATAGTTTCTGTCCAACACCTCATTTTTTTTCCAATTTATTATTTCATTAATTTCTGCTCTAACCTTCTGCTAACTTTCCTTTTTTTTCTACATCCTTGCCATGTAAAAATAGATGGTTTGAGGTCTTTCTCCATTTATTTTGTTGTTGTTGTTTTGGTACCAGAGATCAACTCGGGACCTGTGCTTGAGAGGCAGGCGGCAGCACCACTAAGCTAAATCCCCAGCCCTCTCCATTTTTAACATAAATAATTATCAGTGACATTCCTTCTTAATATTGTGTTTTTGTATTCCATACATATATTGTTTTCATTTATCTTTAGCTATTTTCTAATTTGAGTTCTTCCCCCAACAATGGTTTTTTGAGACAGGGTCTCGCTATGTAGTTCAGCCTAGCTTTGAGCTCACTATGTAGCCCAGGCTGGCCTTAACTTGCAGCAATCCTCCTATCTCAGCCTCCTGAGTGCTGGGATTACAGACATGCACACCACCATGCCTGGCGAATTTGCTTTTTGAATTATTTCTTCTTTGATCAATTGATTGTTCAGGAGTCACAGTAATAAATTTTAATACTTCTGTATCTCCTATAACTTCTTTTTATCTCCTATAATTTTTAAATGAACATTATTCTAGAAAGGACTGTGTTTTTCAAAACATATATATTCAAGTTTTTAAGGAACTAAATCTTTCAATGAGAGCTAGAAAATTCTCCTAAAAAATGTAAATCTCTAAAATCAAAATACTGACTAAATTTGTTGAACATTTAGTATAAAATTAAGTAATACAGCCAGATTCCTTCCTTGAAAATCTTTGGTTAGTCAGATAATACTTAAAATTCCTATTGTAACATGTTTGTTTTTGCTTATGTCAACTAGCGCAATAGTCTCTCAACTTTTTTCCCCTATCATTTTTCTGGCAGCAGTGGGCATCAAACCCAGGGCATTGCACATGTTAGGTAAGCTCTTTCTCTAAACTTTTTCATCAAGTATCCAAATCATTGAAAAGTTTATAACATATCCTCAATAATTGTGTTATATATAAATACATGTATTTATATATTTATTATATACCTACATATTTATCAACAATTACAGTATATACATTACAGGAATATATAAAAAGTAATATCAAAACTTTAAATTTTCAAGTAAAGAGTAAAACTTCTAGGTTTTGTCCTGATACTCTAACAATCAAACACTCACCTTTGGGATGACAAACTGGTCTAGGGACAGATGAACTTGAATGGCAATACACTCTGAAACAGGAGTTCACCATGATGTTTGGTTTTCTTACAAACATTGTATGCATTTTGCTAATTTTCATGTAGGTTATAGGGGCATAACAGCTAATAGGAAAATAATACCTATTCTACTGATATATCCTATCTCCCAAAAAATAATATATATACTAAGAATATATTTTAGTAATCTTCATAAAATCTTAAGAGTTCCCTGAATAACAAGACTTAAAAATAATTTTAAATTTTATTTTTATGTATTTATTTTTGTTTTGAGACAGGTCTCACAATGTAGTTCACTCTGACTCTAAACTTATTACTGTATGTAGCCCAGGCTGGCCTTGAACTCTTAGTGACCCTTTTGCTTCAGCCTTCCAAGTTCTGGGATTACAGGCATCCACCACACCACACCTGACTAAAATTTGTAAATTTTAGCAGTGAAGACTTCATTTATTTTTTCACAAAGAGTATTTTTTTTTCTGTGTTAGGCAGACCACAATGATACTAATTAGAAAGTGGATAGGGAAAAACAGAGAAACTTAAAACTTGAAAATAAACCTATATAGAGATGATCTATATAGTGCTTTTAATCAAGCACTTTTCATTATGCAAATATGCAAGTATGCAATGGTATACGCTTAGTCACCTGGAAAACAATATCACACTATTAATTTAGAAAATCAGTAGGTTACCCACAGTTTACAATAATAAATGTGAAAACTGAAAACTATGAATAATCATAATTGAATGTAATTGCTTGTCCATTCTATTACTGTCCCTATACTGCTAAATCGTAAAGATGATTTTTAAAAAGTGCAGACAGTTTTATTAAGGGAATAATAAAAGGGAAGAATATATTTTCCTCATCTCACAATAAAAATATCTACATTTATTTTCTAATTAGATCAGGAATCAAAAGTAAAATTTTAAAGTAAAATAATCACAACAAATGACACATTCGTTACCTTTAAGAGGGCTAGTTTGCATTCAACACTCATTTCAAGATAGCCCTTCTTCTCCATCTCCCAGGCCCAGGTGCTATTAAATTCTTGGCATATCTGTTAGAGAAAATTAATATCTTAATGTATGAAAGCAACTTTAATGACAATAGCAGTCTTTTATGATTATGCTAAGTATTCTTATTAGTATACATGTATAAAAGGAACAGTTTACACTAAATCCAATCCAATTCCACCCTGAAAGTTATGCTACTTAATTAAATCCATCAGAAATGCTCATGTCATTTGACAACTGAATTAAAGGTAAGAAATAATCTCTGTAGCACTGTCTTCTGCTCACAACAACTTTATACAAGCTTTTTGGGTGCATTTCTCTACACTATAATAATTATTTGATCCTATCTCTCCAAATGGCTGATGTTCCTGTGGACAATGACTAGTTTGTTCATTATTATGCTCAGAACAGAAGTACATTCAAAAGTATGCCAACTTGTACTTTTTCTTGGGGAGAAGAAAAACCCTAGGCAAGCACTCTACTACTGAGCTACATCATCTCCAACCCTTACAACATACTAAACGCCCTACTTTTTATTATGAGCACAGTAAAAATTTCACTGCTGAGCACTTGACAGTTTAAGATAATATGCTTATAACATAAATTTCTCAGGATTCTCTCCCTACCTAATCATTTAGGCCAAATCAGAGCCACTGTACAGACCAAAGAAATAAGATAATAAATAAATGCTCCACTCCAAAGTCCACAGAGGATGTTTTCTCTAACTTTAGCATGTCTTCCCTCACTAAAGGTCAGAGGAAGCTAGTATCAAAGATTAATGTGGAGAAATGGCAAGGGTTTGACCTCCATGAGTCAGTTTTTTCAGCAATAAAACTAATATCCTAATCTTACAGGCTGTTAAATGGGAATGACAAATGATGCAAATGAAGAGAGGAGAGGAGGAAGTTATGCAAATAGGGCACAGGCATGAATAACCTAAAGTAAATTTAAAAGTCAGGGCTTAAGTAAATTAGCATACCAGAGGCCTGAATAATTGACTTAAAGAAACTATCAGGACCCAATAGAATGAAAAGTACAAAAAAAAAAAAAAAACAACAAAAAACAAACAAACAAAAAGAGGTCCTTGAGGAAGTAAAATATAAACAAACCAGCTTGCATTCCAGACAACAAAGGCCTACCTGCAAGCAGAAGCATCCCCAAACTTGTATGGTTTTCTACTTTATGGAAACTCTTCCCCCACAAGTAGGGAGCTTTTATTTTTTCAAATAAACACACATTTGGCCCTTCCTCACTACTTGCAGTTTTGTGGGCTTCAATCTTCTTTGCCCCAAAGCAAGAACCCAAGAGCTAGACTACCAATTGCTCTTTTTGTAATTCAAGGAGCAATGAGGAAAAGGAAAGCAAAGGGAGAAACAGGTCAAGAGATTATACTGAAGCAGGAACATCTGGTTAGGAAGGCAAGAAGGAGAAAAAAACAGGAAAAGAAACACTGAGGGCTGAGAATTTAACTCAGTGGCATCAAACACAAGGTCCTGAGATCAATCCCCACCACGGAGGGGTGGGGGGGTGGGGGGGTGCTGAGGTGACCCATTTTGAACCAAGGAATAAGACCTGGATGGGCCTCTCATAGGGGTTACCCTTTTCTTTACTGAACTAGTATCACTATTAACATCTTTTTGCAATTGGTACCAAATAATGAATGAATCAATCCATCAATCAATCAATCGGTCAATCAATCACAGGTCAGTATTAGGATTGGAAAAGAGTACAAGACAAAGGGTATGGCTAATACCTATACAACGGGAGGTTCTTCAAATGCTCACAACTAATGCATTTCCCATTCCCTGGTAAGCCATCATACTTGTTCTCATTGATGTTTGTAGTTTGCAGAGAAAGAAAAAAATGAGACACATAGAGGGAGAGGAAATTGTCAGAGTATTACATTCTTTACACTCTAAGTGACCATACAAGATATTAAAAGGTCAAGATCTGAAGAGACATTTCACCCCTTTGAGAAAATAAATGTTGGTGCGGATGGGAGAAAATCTAAAACACTCACAGATTGTCAGGGGAAAAGGTAAAACTGAAGGTGCTTTGGAAAAGGGATTAGCAGTTCTTCAAACACTGACTTCCAATGTGACTTAGCAAGTCCGTCCTAGGCATTTATACAAGAAAAATAAAAATGTAATTCACCATAACCAACAAGTGGAAACAATCCAACTGACCACTAATAAGTGAGTAGATAAACCATATATCTATACAATGGAATTTTATATACCCCAAAAAGAGAAGGAAATAGGGCTGGAGATATATATGCTCAGGGGCAGAGTGCCTGGCTAGCATGTTTGAGGAACTGAGTTCTACCCCCAGCACCAGAGGGAGAGAGGATAAAGTAACTATATACTGTTAACAGGCTATACACTTGAAAACAAGTTAATGAAAGGGCCGGGGATTTAGCTCAGTGGTTCTGCTGCCTGCCTTGCAAGCCCAAGGACCAGAGTTTGATCCCCAGTACCAAAAAAATAAATAAAAAGAAAACAAGTTAATGAAAGAAACCACACACAAAAGGTCACACACTGCATGCTTCTATATGCAAGATTTGGAGTAATCATCTCCCAACAGCAAAAGGTTATGGAGGACATCTGGGTCTGCAGAGGAGGAGGAAGATAAAAATCTCACCTCAAATGAGATTAGGAAGATGTGTAAAATCTGGGAAACTAAAATTCTGTAGAAAAGCACCACCTGAGTAAGACTAGCAGCGTGAGCAATGAATATGTTTAACACTGCAGTATCACATGTTCCACAAAAACCTCAAAAGGAAACAAACTAGTATCACTGGATAGGTTTCCTGTTAAAAGTTGCATGAAAAAAAAGATTTCATTGAACTAAAATCAGTGATTCCATTAATGATAGTGAAAGTCATCCTACACAATAACCCTCCTCTATCTTGTCTCCCTCATATCAGTCACGAAGTCAAAGGTGAGTGAAGGTAATTTGTTATTTTTAAAAATACTTTGTATTTTCTTTATTATTTTGTATTATATTACAGCACTGCAATCATTTTTATATTAATACTTTGGAGTTTTGGAACATGTCATCTCAGTTTCTATTATTTCTTATGGGAAAATTTGTTTTGATATGCAAATGCTTTGGATTACAAGTATGTTTCCAGAATGAATTATGCTCACAAACCAAGGTTTTACTGTACCTTAACTTAACCAAGGAAGTGAAAGACCTCTACAAATAAAATTACAGTGTTCTGAAAAAGGAGACAGAAGAGGACATCAGAAAAGATAATTGTAAAAAATGGCCATATTCCCAAAATTGTTATACAGATTCAATGCAGTTCCAACCAAAATACCAATAGCATACTATACAGATCTATAGAAAAAAACCCTAAAATTCATATTTATCCAGAAGAGACCCAAAATAGCAAAAGCAATCTTGGACAACAAGAGCAAAGCAGGAAGCATCACAATACCTGACTTTAACCTATACTGCAAAGTAACAGTGATAAAAAGCATAGTACTGAAACAAAAACAAATACATGGATAAATGGAACAGAACCGAGAGTCCTGAAACATATTTAACTATGTGACATCTGACAAAGGAGCCAAAACTATACAATGGAGGAAAGATAGCCTATTCAACAAATGGTATTGAAAAAAGTGGGTAACTACAGAACATTGAAAGTGGACCCTTATCTCTCATATATACCAAATTAAAATCAAGGGGCTGGGGATTTGTCTCAGTGGATCCACCGCCTGCCTCGCAAGTGCAAGGTCCCCGGTACCCCCCAAAAATAAAAATGGATCAAAGATCTAAACATTAAAACAGAAATACTGACCCTAATGGAAGATAAAATACATGAAAAACCTGAAGCAACAAGTGTAGGAAAGGATTTTCAAAACAGAACTGCAACTGCAAAAGAAATAACAGTGAGAATCAACAAACGGATTACATCTAATTAAAAAGCTTCTATACAGTAAATAAGAATTATTCAACAGCATGAAAAGACAACCTACAAATGGGGAAAAAAAAAACTGTCAGCTACTTCTCAGAGGACTAACATCTAGAACATATAAAGAACTCAAAAAAATTAGACCATCTAAAATAAGACTCAGTTAAGAAATGGGCTAGTGAAATGAACAGACGCTTCACAGAGGCAGAAGTACAAATGGCCAAAAACATGAAAAAATGTTCAATATCTCTGGCTATCAGAGAAATGCAAATTTAAACACCACTAAGACCCATCTTACTCCAGAAAGAATGGCTATCATCAAAAAATTTAAAAATTAACAAATACTGGTGAAGTTGTGGTGAAAAGGAAAATAGCTACATTAGTGCTGGGACTGTAAATTAGTACTACTACTATAGAAATCAGTATGGAGATTTCTCAAAGAAATAAAATGAGAAAAAGTTCCACATGACCCAGCTATCCCACTTCTTAGTAAAAGAGCTTAAAACATCATACTACAACAATATATGCATGATATTTGTGGAAACACAATTCATAATAGCTAAATCCTGGAAGCAGCCTGTATACCCATCAATAGATGATCGGATAAAGAAAATGTGATGGAGGCCGGGGACTTAGCTCAGTGGTGCTGGTGCCTGCCTTGCAAGTGCAAGGTCCTGAGTTCAATCTCCAGTACGAAAAAGAAAAAAGAGAATGTGACAGCTATACATAACAGAATACTATTCCACTATAAAGAATGACACATCTTAACTATACTATATACCTAAAATGTACCAATAAACTCAATGAGAAAAAAAATGACACAACTGAGATATTTGTAGGAAAATGGATGCACCTAGAAATGTTGAATGAAGTAAACCAAACACACAAGCTTAAATAACATCTGGTATCTCTCATTTGGAAAAAGCAACATTCAAACAGTTTAATAAAGGATTGATAAGGAGACAGGGGGATGGCTCTCTTCCAAATGGGAAGAGGTCCAAGAGACTAAGGGCAAGGGCGGGGGAGGAGGGAAAGTAGAAATAAGCAGAAGAGATGCTATGTACAGGAATCTAATAACTTCACTGAATGGAAACATTATGTGCCATAGGAGCTAAGATTAAT